GTGCAAGTAGAAGCTGACTAACGGTAAACCGCGAACTGTTCGTTGCAGTAGTCATTGTTTAATAGCGAATGAATTTCTTGTGGACAACTGTGGTCATTCAAGAGCCAGTACGTGCATTACCGCTTCGACTTCGGTCGTAGCGCAGCTAGTAAAATAAGCCTGAACGAACCCTCCTTTTGAGGGCTAATATTTGATGAAATTGAATAACGTTGTAGATCGCGTGGTCAAGTACCGGCAACGTGTCTCATAAATGCTTGCCTTATCACCCTTGGTTGATAGGTCATGCGCCTGTTGTGGTGATAACGGGCAACAGAGGGTCAGGGTTTGATTCCGGAGAGAGTGCTAGGGAAACGGCTGCCACGTCCAAGGAAAGCAGAAGGCACGGAAATTGCCCAGTTTTGGAATAAAGAAGTAGTGATGAAAAATAACGTCGGTGCTCTTTGAAATGCGTCATTGGAATCAATCTCGATTTAAAACAGCTCACAAGAATTAATTGGAGTTCAAGTTTGGTGCCAGGAGTCACGCTAATTCTAGCTCCAATATCTTATATTAAAGTAATTGTGTTTAAAACGTTTGTGGTTGAATCTGCTGTAATCGGAAGTGGTGCCCCGTTATTGAGTGTTAAACTCTATCTTGTGCTTGGATGTCAGTTTATTTGTTGGATGTTTTTTAATAAAAGCTGAATAATGTGTTGAAAATTTACTTTAGACAGATTGGAGTGCTTATTGCAAGTGATGTTCTTGAATATGATTGCATGGAATAATGGAGAAGGACCTCGGTTCTATTTTTTCACATCTAAGAATTAAAAGAATTAAAGTGCCTGTTATTCGGTCTGTTTCTTTGAGCGTGAGCACAAGGCGAGTAGAATAGGATTTATGTCCAATATGCCGAACCTGACCCTGATTTGACCATTAGCTAAGTTTTGCGTGCAGTACTGAAAGTTGTGCTTAATAATTATATTGGGTAAACTTTTAGATTCAGATTTCGCATTGCCACATGTCGATAATTTGCGCACATTTATTTGAAATTAGACGATATTAGACGATATTGTGGCTTAAATTCAGTAACACTTTTAGGAAGTTTGAAGTTTTGTGTATAACCCCTCCCCGATGTTCTGGCGTATTTATGATATTGTAGGGCGAATTGAAAATTTTACCTAAGGTTGTTTGTTGCCATTGAATAGTTTCGATTGTACCGCTGTGGCTGACGAGCGATAAGCTGTCACTTGATATGAAAATTCTGATGGTAGAATCACTTGTTTTATGATGACGTATGATCTATTTTGTATTGACATTTTTTGACTACACAGAGTTGATCATTATAAAATTTAATTTGTCTTTGTTGATTAGTTTTCACAAATTTATTTCTGTTTTAGATTAGAATCACGCTTCCCCGATACTGCGAATTGCACAAATTGCTGCGTGTGCTGCAAAGGCAGCAACTTTTCGACGCGTATTACGTATTGGCGAAGCTGTTCTTTCAAGGCGTGTTCCGAATTTGTGCGACTTCAGATCAGGTGACCATATATTTGAACTTGCAGTTCATTTTGTTTGTTGGGACTGGTATAGCGGGACCGTGTATAGCTTCCGTTACGTCCATGACGTTGCCCGGCATGCTTAAACACGCGTGTTGCAGTGCAATTACCGCAGTGTCATTGAACGAACAATTATTGGTCATGCATGTGACTATCTCAGTTTTGCACTCGTATTCCGTCATTTCCTCATATCATTCTTTTTTCTGTTATATAATTTAATACAAGGTATCAGTCTCGTTGGATACTTTTTTGAGCTTCATTTAAAGCAGTCATGCAAGTGCCATGCAGAAGTACTGCTCTGATTGAGACGAGCACACAGTTTGCGTTTTTTGCCTTAATTCTTGTGTGCCGATTTTTCAAGCAAGGAAATTTTTATGTGGTTCAGCAATTGGGCGCTATGTAAGACACTAACCTCGACAGCTTAAATTCACTAGACTACACAAACGGCAGTAGTTCTAACATTGTCTGGTGGCTAGTAGTGAAGCATCGTAATTCGATGCTTCATTCATGAAAGAAGTAATGATTTTGACGCTTTCCAACTATGTACGTATTCTATACAACGTCCATCATTTCTTAACGGTAATTTGTGCTTTTAGTTTAACATTCTGACATTCCGACCGTCGGAAAAAGTGTATGATAAAAAGGCCCAGGATAATCTTCGCACCGATTTCACACTCATGACGCTCGTTGACAATGGGTTAGATAAGGTAATGTATTATTTACCGTTTTGTGGCTTATGGCAACATTTATTCATGGCTTTTCCAGCAAATTGATCTCGTACATTCGACATATATGGCCGCGAAGATGAAGCTTGTCAAAGATTGGCCGGAAGCTTCTGAACGATTGTGTTTTGTCAAAGAACTTCCACTGGATGCTTTTGAAAAGTAACGTATCATTATCTGTCCTACGTATGCGTGACTAATTGCTGAGGCAATACTTCAGGTTTTGCTCCGAATATGAATCTGAAGTAAAGGGCATAAACGAGCGACAGGTGACGCCACTTGATGTTTTTGTTTTGGCTTACACGATTGGGAATTGTCTGTGTAATGTATTCAGTTTTAAGTAATCTTTCTTACTGTGAAGCGCATCATTTTCAGTAATCGTGCTTCACGAATCCAAGTTACAATGTGTCATAGCACTGTCAACTGGCTCCCACGTTACTTCAGAGATTTAGGCGGGCCATGATATTGTATGTATGTGTAGAACATTTTGTTTATGTACAGGTCCTGTTTCAAGGCCAACTGCCATCTGAGAACCCCTATGTTTTTTGACACAATCTCAAAAGCGTTCTGATGGGCATACTAAAGCAGATTTCTGGTCCATGAGAGCGACGTTAGGAGGTTGGTCGAAATTTCAATGCACCTCGGCAAACCGGCGGATTGTGGATCCGTTGCCGAGCAGTCAGGCGTGAATCCGGACCGCTCTAATGGTCGATGTTGTAACAAAACCGAAATCAGCCCTTCCAGTACTGCGTGATTCATACTCCTTACCGACACT